TTTTATTTAACTGCTTTTGGACTGATGCATGCAACACCCGCTGAGTGCCATGAAACAGCTTGAACGATCAAAGACAATTTTTCATATAACTCCGACTGGATTCGTCTGAAAGAAGAAAGTCATATACACCTAGAATGACTTGAGGGTGAGTAATTTATGGGCTAATTTTCATTTTTGGGTGAACTAATCCTGTTTTTTTTTTTTGTTGTTAAAAAGAATTTGTAAAAAAAAAATAATAATAAAAATGTAATCCCTTTGACGCAGTAGTTTTAAGTCTACACAGATGGCAATTGTGCTAATGAGGACACAAATTCCGTTGAATTGACTACCTGTGAACCATTAAAATACCCGTAGAATTTTCTAGATAAAAACCCCACAGTTAAGGGATCATTATTCTAGCTGCGAGTCTTAAGGACTTGCTGTGAAAATGACAAGTTAAGAGCATTCCTGGGTCCGAGTTATAGTAAAACAAATGCATACATTTTGGAAAAACAAAACTATATCCAAGTGTTTGGATGTCCCAGTGATAACCTTTGGCCACCCAGACGCGCCTATTAAAGGTCATTCCTGTGAACTGTGTGAACCAGGAAATTTCCAAGAGGACCACATAGAGGCCAACAATCACTCCGCAGGATCTACAGCGTTCACTGGTTGACAACAGAGTAAACACGCACCAGCCAACCATCGCAATAGTCCTGCAAAACACCGGCCTGTATAGGGAGGGTGGCAGCAAGGAGCCATTCCTCAAAAAGAATCATGTGTAAGCATGTCAGGAGTTTGCCAGAATGCATAACAGTGATCCAGCTGCAATGCGGGAAACGATCAGATCTTGGTCAGCCTAAAACAATCTGGATGACACAAATCTACAGTATATCTGCCCTCACCACCAAAAAACACCAGCCACATGCTAAAGTTTTGCAGTACCATCATGTAGGGCTTCTCTTCATCAACAGGAACTGGACATGTTCATAAAAGCAGGAGGAAGAATGGACGATGCAAAATACAGAAAGGTACTGCAATATAGGGCTGCAAAATTAAATGCAATAGAATCAAATTTGCAATATGAAATGCGTAATTATTAAAGCACAAACGGCCAAAATGTAACAAAATATATAAAATAATCGTTAATAAACGTGTAGAGAGTGAAAACGATATTGTGAACTTCACTCCAAACAGGCTTGAGGGTTTAAAGTAAATAAATTACAACAGAAACATATTGCACAACAATTTCAATATTCATAGCATTCAATATAATAACAACACATCATTAATATTTAAGTTTGCTGGGTTCCTAAAAATAACTGTAGAAATAAAAAGTAGAAAGAGACCCTCTGACAACTCAAGAGGATCGATTTCTGAGTCCACCCTAAGTTCAGGTATAATGTTAATGCCATGAGAACTGGGTTCTTTTTCACTCCGTTCACTTTTGGCTCAACTGAAAGAGGTCTGAGTTCCTCCTTCTGTTAGCAGGAAAGCTTAGGCAAAACATGACTTAGTTTGGAGACAGACTTCCTAGTTTGTAGTTCTTGCACACCCTGAGTTCAGCCTGAGAGCTGCTGTCACAATGGACTTTTATGCCTTTTGGTCTTGATATACCTAAGCAGCAACAACAACAGATATCCAATGTTTAGGCTGCATTTCAAACCATTATTTCAATATATTTTTATTTGACAAAATTGTTACCACTTTGTCTAAATACTTAAAAACTAAATCAGTCGTTTTAAGTGAATTTAGGCATCACAACATTATAATGTACAGTATGAAAAAATGGATATTTATTTTAAACATTCGTAAGGATTACATTGACAGTGTTATTAAATTATTAGTGTTTTTAAAAATGAACTTTTAGTGAGCATTAGATGATGAAAAATGTCATCTAAGTGTAAAAAACAGAGGAAATCAATGTACAATTAAACATCAAATACTGCTAAAATATGTAAGTTCTTCCTTCAGAAGGTCAATATTTCCAGACACAAGGCTAAATGAACATCACATTGGCACAAGAACAAATCTCCCATCTCATAATGGCCCAATCAAAGTCCTGAACTCAATCCAACTGAGAATCTGTGGCGCTACTTGAAAATTGCAGTGGACAGGTGTCGAGCAAGTAACCGGAACAATCTGGAGCAAATCTGCCTGGATGAATGTGCCAAAATCACACCTGAGCAGCATGCAAAGCTGATATATCCTTCACCCAAACATATCCCGTCACCGCTGCACGGGAGCCACTCCCCATGAGCTATGCAACATATTTCAGCTTCTTGGCAATATATAACAAGAAAGAAAGAAAAAATCATGTTGCAAAAAAGAAATTGGAGTTTTTCCACAGAGAACCATTCAATCATAAATCAGCAGTAGCATCACGGTGAAGTGGGGTTTGTGGTGAGTGATGTGTACTCACTATGAGGCTGGGGTGTCTTCATTTGGAGTTTTATTGAGGAGACGAGAGGGTGGATCTGGTGGTCGACTTGGTGGCCGGCAGATGGAACTCTTCTCTGAGAAAGATTGTCCTTTCAGCCCCTGAGCCTCTCCTGTTACACACACATACACACACCTGTTACAACCACTTTAACCGACTGACTCATTGCATCGGGATTACTGTACATGTGTGTTCTGCTAACTGTAGATCACATGGAACTGCCGGTCCTGTATTATGGCGATCATTCATACTTCAAATGCCATACTGTGTTTTAACATCACAGGAATCAGTCATTTAGAGGCCAATGACATGTAGGAGTGTCCATAATATAGAAAAGAAAAATCTTTTAATAAACACGTCAAGTTTTTAGAAATGTACTCTGTTTTAATGTTCATTATATATATATATAGCGCTGCTTGAAAGTTTGTGAACCCTTTAGAATTGTCTATATTTCTGCATAAATATAACCCACAAAATCATCAGATTTTCATGCAAGTCCTGAAAGTTGACAAAGAGAACCCAATCAAACAAATGGGATGAAAATATATACTTTGTCATTTATTTATTCAGGAAAATTATCCTGAATATAATACATATCTGTGAGCGGCAAAAGTTGGTGATTTTCATTTTTGGAGGTGTTTTTAATCAGTGAGATGACTATCAGGTGTCAGTGTGTGCCCTGTTTTATTTAAAGAACAGGGATCTACTCAAAACAACCATGGTGTCCATGGCAGATTCGCAAGGAGAAGACAAAAAGAAAAATTTTTCATTTTTCGCTCTCCAAAAAGAACATTGCTACCCATCTGCAGTTTGCTAAAGATCACGTGGACAAGCCAGAGGAATACTGGAGAAATGTTTTGTGGATGGATGAGACCAAAATAGAACATTTTGGTTTAAATGAGTCAACAAAGAACACTCTAAAAGCAAGACGTGTAATAGTCCACTAGGTTTCAAAGGACTGCAGGCTAACTTCTAAGCAACTAAAGGCCTTTCTCACATTGGCTAATGTTAATGTTTATGAGCCCATCATCAGGAGAACACTGAACAACCATGGTGTCCATGGCAGATTCGCAAGAAGAAAGCCACTGCTCTCCAAAAAGAACATTGCTGCCCATCTGCAGTTTGCTAAAGATCATGGACAAGCCAGAGGATACTGGAGAAATGTTTTGTGGATGGATGAGACCAAAATAGAACATTTTGGTTTAAATGAGCAGCGTTATGTTTGGAGAAAGAAAACACTGCATTCCAGCATAAGAACCTTATCCCATCTGTGAAACATGGTGGTGGTAGTATCATGGTTTGGGCCTGTTTTGCTGCATCTGGTCCAGGACGGCTTGCCATCATTGATGGAACAATGAATTCTGAATTATACCAGCAAATTCTGAAGGAAAATGTCAGGACATCTGTCCGAGAACTGAAGCTCAAGAGAAAGTGGGTCATGCAGCAAGACAACGACCCCAAGCACACAAGTCGTTCTACCAAAGAATGGTTAAAGAAGAACAAAGTTAATGTTTTGGAATGACGGAGTCAAATTCCGGACCTTAATCCAAATGAAATTTTGTGGAAGGAGCTGAAGCAAGCAGTTCATAGGAGGAAACCCACCAACATCACAGAGTTGAAGTGGTTCTGTAAAATTCCTACAAGCCTTTGTGCAGGACTGATCAGCAGTTACAAGAAACGCTACTTGCAGTTATTGCTGCAAAAGGGGGTCACACCAGATACTGAAAGCAAAGATTCACATACTTTTGCCACTCACAAATATTTAACACCAGATAATTTTTCTCAATAAATAAATGACAAAGTATATATTTTCATCTCATTTGTTTGATTGGGTTCTCTTTGTCAACTTTCAGGACTTGCATGAAAATCTGATGATTTTTT